ACAGCCAGCCACTGGACCTCTGCCAGCCACAGCAGAAGCCCGGGTCTTCCAGCAGAACAGGCATCACAGCCACTTCTGTGCTTTTCCCTTTCTTGTCCCCAGCCTCCCCCATCACCCCCCTCCCAACAGCTCCTCTGGATGGGCCAGAGGACATGGCCAAAGGAAGGGAAGTGCAGCCAAGACTTTGCTGTGCCCCAGCAGCCCCTCTCTGCTGTTGCAGGGTCACTGGCAGCCAGAATGATTTAGAGCAGCCTTCAGGCTATTCTAACTTACAGTGAGGGACTTGACTGACTCATTGCTGCTCCAGGACTGTGGGAACATAAAGCTACCTTAAAGCCATTTCAGTCATCCCTCTTCTGAGCTGTGCTATTTTATCCTTGCCTGTGACTGAAAAAAAAACCCTGAGAGAGCAGGTTGTTTACACATCTTGCAGCTGCAGCAAGTGGTCGTTTCCTTTGCCTTTCTTCTGCCTTTATTTGTTGGGGGGTTTTTTTGTGTCTCTTTTGGCTTTTTAGACAGCTCTGGTAGTGTTCATAGCCCTGCACTCCATCTGAGATGGTGATTTATGGCAGTCTCTGCTCTATTGATTGGTCTTCCAAAGCTGAGGTTCCCGTCAGCTGCAAGGCTGTGGGAAGGCATGCTGTGCTGGAGTTTGCTGTCTGCAACCAGGACAAGCAACATTCTTGAGGTTCCCATGAGTGCCATGCCCATCAAGAATAATTTTGTAATTTAGCATCTTAATTTTTACAGAATCAAATGCTAGTGACAAGCTCAACTGAAGAGAGATCAACTGTTTCATTTCATTGCTTATCAGCTTTGCTTACATTTTAACTCTGATGGTACTTTGGATTAAATTTCTGCATCCATAATCTGTTTTGTTATGCACAGAAAATATCAAATTACATTTACTCTACTAATTCCTGTAGCACTCATGCACTTATATATACCTTCCATATTCTCTTTCTTTTTATATTTGCCATTTCAATTTAATGCTCTTCATTGCAAATTTTCACACTTACCTCTTTGTCCTTTTCTTCTATAATACCTTTATTAAATCAAATCTTTTTATAAAAAAAATACTTCCATTTTTTAATATTATTGCTTCTTCTCTATCACAATCTAGATTTAACATTTCATTGAGCAGACAGTTTTAATTTTCCATTTCTCCAACAGTTCTTTCATTAGACTATTTCTTAAGTATTTCATTTTATTTTTCTCTTCTGTAATTTGCTTTCAACCAGCCTAATGGACTTGTCTCTTTTGTAATTTGCTTTTATTCCCTGTTACTGTCCTTCTGACTTCTCTTTGTTGCTTAGCGCTGACAAGTGTTCTTCCCCATCCCTTGTGAGTGACAGTGACAGCATTTGAGTGGAAGCTGGCAGATTTAGGAACAGTAAGTATCTGTCTGAAAAGATTTTATTTGGTTTTATTTTTATTTTGACTGTAAAATCAGACCTCTTGAATCCTAGAGCACCAGGGGGCATTGTTTCATTTAGAAAATAAAAACTGTCATGATAGCTATTAATTTCCCAACAAGTCCACTGCAATACCAAACAGAGCCAAAGGAAAAAAAAATGGAGCTATTAAGGCAAATGTAGCAACCAAGAAGGGTTACATGTCAAGTGTTTCAGTGCTTAAAAATGGGTATTATTCTGGAAAGCTACTCTACAGTGAATCAGAAGTGTTGTACCCCTGACCTCCAGGCCTCTATGCCTCAATGTTCAACTATAGCATAAAGGAGGAAATAAGGAATTGGAAGTTACACTGACAGCTCCTGAGCAGAAACATGAATTTAACCAACAGTGGAAAATATTGACTGGACTATCTAGAAGGAGCAGGCAGTGACAGCCAAGGGAAATTACATATAAATGTAAAGAAAGTGCCTGAACTGCCATTAAAATGAATGGAAATGTAAAGCAACAGGAGAAAGCGGAATGTCCCACAGGTCCAGCAGCTACATTTTTGTGAAATAATTAATAGGCTGAATTTCATAACAAATTGCAGGGTAATAACAAACATAAGTACAGCTTCACAGTTGACTAAACTCACAATAGCAACAGGCAACCCTATTACCACTACTGAAACAATCCTGTTTGCCAAAGAAAAAGAGAAAAACAAGGCAGCAAAACTCTCTATAATTATGAGGGAAATCATCTCTGTAACAACTTAACTAATGCCCAGAAGCTGAATGACTCACAGCATTAAGAAAATTAGAAAGGGTGCTCAGCAGTATTACATAATTCAGGACACGTACATTAGAATACCAGTCTTACCATGCCAGCAATAAATTTAGGCACTATGCAGTACAGGGCTCCAAACCCTGCAGATCACAAGCAAATGCTTAATTCAAACCACAGAGAAGAACTAAGTGTGTAGCTACACACAGATTATGGATCTACACGTCTAAAGATGGATTTTTGTTATTTGGATGAGAGGCATTGTTTTTTTGTGGGGTTTTGTTTTTTTTTGTTTAGGGGGGGAGTTGTTATTAGTTTTAGTATTATTTTCATGTGATTTGATGCTTGCGTGGCTTCAAGAGCTCCTGCTCTAAGTGTGTTTATAAGGAAAATTACATGAAATGAAGCCCCCTCTGAATTGTCTGCTGCAGGTGACGACCTCCTGATGGACCTGATGGACAACACTCTCTGAAACATGAACTCTGCTCACACTGCTCAATCTTGCTACAGGTCTCGGTTCAAATCATCTTGACTCAAGCCCAAGGCCAGGCCACATGCAGACCAGAAATACGAACTAAGAACAAGCTTGATGCCATTTACCTAACCCGCTAATTTCCAAATGAGTAAATTTGGCTAAAAAATTACCCCTTTTTTAATTTGGGCCCCATTCATACCAAGAAGACTCACAGAGGCCCTTGAGCAATACCTGCTGAAACCCACAGGAGCTCCTGCAAGTTCATATTTCTCCTAGGAAGATGCAGAACCCAGGAGAGATACTGTGCGTGCCCCAAGGTGAAGTCAGCTGGAAGGCAGCAGAAATCAGATATCAAGTTCAAATTTGTACAGCAAAGTTTTTATAGAACAACTATTTAATAAATCTCCATTCCTTTATGCTGTCTTCAGCTTCTGAGCCCCTGCTGCTCTGCATCCCAGCAACAGGGCACCACCTGGCACATAGTGCTGCTCCTCCAAACAGCATATTGATTGTCCATAAAAATGAGAATCACGTGTCAGAACTTCCTGGTTTGCTGTAGAGACTTCTAAAGATTGGAGAAATATACATCTATGCATATATAAATACAAATAAAACAATAACCAATACATCAAACATAAAAACGTCCTTTTATCCCTCTATATGTCAGGATTTAAAGGTTTTTTCCACTAGTTGCAACAGATCCATTGTTTCCTTTTTTTTATTAATAACACTCATGTTGACCCTTCTCCTTTATAATGAATAAACAAAAAAGCATACATTCATATTACAAATAACACATTATTACATACACCTATATTGAGCTAATTAAATTCCTGCCATTTCCTTACTATCAGTGGTGTATTTTACCTACTTGTACATTATTGTTTTACTGTGGCAACTCATATGTCTTTAAATACTCATTTTCTTGTTACATTATAAGCAACCTGTTGGTGTCTAATTGAATACCAGATAAGTATTTTAATCTTAAGCTTCTACTGCCATCTATAATATTAGGAAAATATTGTATGTAAATCATAACAATATACCCAATTGGTTAAGAGTTTACAGTCCTTCAAGAAAACATTCAGCAAAACATCTTGCAGTAACTCTGTATAATTTCCCATATATATTACCAACAATATCTTTTATTTATTTTCTTGTACATTAGCATTTAAAAATTAAGTGTTTATGTTTATTGTTTACTTCACTGAGATTTGTTTTGGAAATAATATGGCTGAGTTTGAAATCCAACATTTACAACTAATAAAACTCCATGTTCTGTGAATGCTTACCTTTGGAGCTAATGTATTCAAAACACAGGTTAAAGCTCAAAAGCAGGTGGACATAATAGTATCATTAACCCATCATCTAGATATAAATCCACACGTGAAATTAGGAAGCCTTTGGAAGTATTTTATATGCAAAGCCTTTGAATACATTTAGGGTAAGTCTTAACATTTCTATCTGAAACACCTTTTAGGATATTTAGAGAAAGATCTTCTGTGAGCAGATCTGCAGTTTTAAGAAATGCTCTGAAATCTTAACCTAGGCAACTCTCAAGGGCTGCAGTTATGTTACATCTGTCGTGTGCTAGCCTGCAATGATAAAAAGGATGTTATTGTTCATTTCAATTTAATGTGTGGATAATACTGTCCCTAGGCACCAAATTTCTATCAAGGAGGTTAGATTATTGTAATATCTACATCATTAATTGCATTATCAATTTTCTTACTTTTTAAACATTTGCTTTTGGTTAGAGAAGATTATTGTACTGTTTCTGAAAATGTCTTTACAATTATCTTTCACTGCAGCAGGCAACAAGGAAATGGATATTAATCATATAAGACTTTCTCAAATTGCTGGGATTATTTCCTTTTTAATTACAGGTGGCATCGACAGCTTGTGCAAGAAATGTGGCAAAATACCTATAGCTTCTGTAATATGCTTTTTTGCACTGAAATCAGTCTGCTTTCTTATTTACATAAAATATTCCAGTCTGCCTTGGAAAGGCTCTTCAGCCTTCAATACTATCTGTGGGAAGTTTCACCACAGAAAACAAACATCAGCCATCAGTTCAAATCTGTCTTGCAGCCAGTGAATCAGGGATGTCTTCATAGGGGCTTTAAACCAGTTGTGCTCCCAGACAACACTGAATAATGCCAGCATCTCATTTTCAAGATGTAACTGACACATTAAAGGCCCGTGATCCTTAATTAGAAGCACTTATTGACTCAAAAATGAAGCTGATAATCCCACTAAAATGCCTGTTTTCTAACCACCAGAATATCCTTGGCCCACCAGAGACATGCTTGCACTGGCTCTCTCCACGGTGTGCCTGCAACACCCTGTCTCAGCATCCCATCTCCACTGTGTGAGAGCACAGCAGACATTCCCAGCCAGCCAATTGAGCTCAGCTGCCTGAGGTGAGTTCCTGGACAGGGAAAAAGGTAAAAGCAGAGGAAGAAGGGAGAACAGAATCAAGAACGAAACAGAAGAATGTTGAGCTGAAAAAGATAGGAACAGATTTAGAAGTCGCACAAAGACTTTAGAAGACAGAAAACAAGAGTAAGAAAAATGCTGAACTTCAGTGAACAAGGTAGCAGTATCTTAAACCAGGTTGGTCCTGGCCTTGTAGATTTTTAAGAGCTGGCCTTTACCTAGAGTCTGGCAGGGTGACCATGGAAACTAATGAAGAAATTAAGTTTGAAGTGCTAACCATGCAGCAAAATCCATCAATGGAATGTTTAAAATTATAAAAATACTACTTATAGGCCAGAAAACCTGAGTCTCTGATTCACAGAAAGTGCAAGAGGCAAAAGGCATGTGTTTTTGCATACTTCTCCTTCCATGCACTCCTTGGCACACACCTGCTGCTGGCCCTAGAGCCAACAAGAAATCCAGCTCTGGGAGCTGGCAGTCTCACCTTGACTATTTTTTTCTTTAAACATAAAGTGGCAAACACAAAATATTAATAAAACACATTTGGGGAGTAGAGGAAGGAAGCTAGAAGCAGACACAAGAGAATACAGTCTTCATATATACTCCCAGACCAAGATTGTTCATTCTGTATTTATACATTATGTAAAATCTACTTGTGATAAGAAGTTAGTAGATAAGAAAACACAAATAGATAAGAAAACACAAGCTAATATAAGCTTTTTTGCAACTAGTGAAGCAGAGGTCTCATCTTGCAGCCATGGTGCTGAAACTGTACTGCTTTCACGTGTGTGCCTACTGCACTGCTCACAGTATGATTATTTCCACAAACTCATTCCTATCTAGCTTTTTACTTCATCAGTTCAAGTTTTGATTGAAGTTTTAACCCTATTTGAGCCTTACACATGGAATTTAATTTACCCAATTCTTCTCTTTCTTTCAGGTTTTTGTATTCCTGGACAGTTTCCGTGCAATTACTTGCATGTTCATCTTAAACCTAAGCAATTGTGGGTTATATAAGGACTCTTCTACCTAGTACCATCTTTTGGTTCAATTAGCACCAACATGGAGCCCTCCCACTGCTCAAATCTGCACCACCTCGAAGAACAACTCTCCACAACTGATCTCAGAAGGTACAGCAAGGTTTCACTCATGCAAACCTGCTTTAATTTTCTCAGAAAATGTCTGTCTCTCTCAGCCTAGGCTGAACCTTCTGATTCTTGCAGGTGACACAATCTGCAGCTGTTCTAAAAAAGTTTATGAGGCAGAATTCCCACTGAACAGTCTTTATTTTCTTAGGTCATCTCCTTCAGCTATCTCCTGAGTCAAATCCTGTAGGTAAGGCTTGTTTTCACTAATTCAGATCTTCAATAATGTGCTTTCTTCAAGCAGACAAAGAGAATAGATAAAATATTGCTACAAAGGAAAGGCGAGCTATAGGAGGAAGGATGATGGGGATTGAGCAACATACAGTTAAAAGCAGTAAGGCACATGAAAAGGTGTATGGCTCATACTTTCAAATGAACTTGAAAGATTATACAGAAAGAGAAATTGCAAAGAAAGCATCCTTACATGAAGTATCAGATAGGTGAACTGTAAGATTGTGCAGTGGATCCATTTCACAAGGCCACTCTAATAAAAAGCAAGATCCTGGTCAGAATTACTCCGAAGTATCTATCCAAAACAGTTTGTACACTATTAAATGTGCTAGCTGGAATTTAAATTCAAAGCCTACATCTCTTTCACAGTTACTATGGAAGCGCCTACCCTCTGTATATTTCAGATCTACAGTCTTAGACTTGGCCTTCTTTGCATATTAGATTATAACAAAATGTTGTCACTTCCCAAAAATATCTCTAAAGACTGACCTTTCCCTTCTTTCATACATCAAGTAATCTCATCAAGTGGCCATGTCAACTTGCCCCTCACAGCCACTGGACATGGTTTACAAGGGGGTGCTTCTTCATTCTGAGCACCCCTGAGGTGGGATGTTCTGGTGGGAAGAAGGCTACGCCTTCTTTTTAGATTTCTTCTCTCCCCTGTGTTAGGTGCAAACTTAGCTTCTCCACTAATACTCTTTTATGACTTTCCTGTATTCTTGTGGAAAACAGAGTTTTCAACTAAAGCTTCAATCTTCCAGCAGTACCATCCCTCACTGCTCAGGTGTCCCTTTCTTGTTACACTGCCAGCAGTTGAGAGGAGACTGTTCCATGCTCCCAAGGCCCAGGATGGTTACACCTCAGAGAACACTGGGGATACTCTCACTTGAGTCACTCCATATATTTCATTTTATACAGCTAGACAGAGCCCAACTAAGATCAATCTGCTGTTGATTTCTACATAAGGTTTTATTTTCTTGGCTGATAATGGTCAAAAATTTTAGTGACATATTGGCTGTCATTGCCAAGACAAAATTAATTTGCAGCTTATTTTTGTCTAACAAATGAATATATATCCATAAACCCACCACCACAGAATGGAGGTGACCCTTCATGGCAGATGCACAGGACAATGTCCTTTATGTGAACACTTAGTAAGGCTCTCATGAAGAGACCTCCCTCTGTTGAACGTGATAGTTGTGAATAACTGATACCAAGCAGTTCTCTGGAGTAACAAAGGACTCTGGGGCTGTCTGCATCATTTGTCACAAACTTTGTAGGTACGTAAACAAAAATGAATTTCACATACCCATAATTTTATCTGTTCACATTACAGTTGCGTCTGTCCCTGGGTTACACATCAAAGAAAATGTCTTTGCTGAGGATAGGACCATACAATTCCATAAGGCATGTAACCTAACATCTTTTCCATTATGGTGCAAACCAGACTTCTGTAGTGTTCATAACATTGATCGAACATTTTCAAAGACTACCAAATGTTTTTTTTTTTTTTAAAAAGATAACTTGGTTATTCTTATCTAGAAAAAAGCAAAAAATTGCAAATTGTTTGGAAACAGTAGACCTAAAAATTCACTGGAAGTTAGTAAAAGGAAACACAGAAGCTATAATATTTCAATATCCCCAATGGCTATTTACAGGAGAAATATCTAAACACTTAAGAGCATATATAAACCTTTATGAAACAGGTAGCTCTTTGTAGGAGTACACAGGACATAGTAAAGGGAGTTAGATAACATGTTACTCAAAATAGACCAGAGCTAAATATGCCGGCTCTGCTCACTTTCCAAACTTTTTTTTTTAAATGCTGACCAAGCTCAGCTAGGCAAGACCTGCTTAGTGCAGTCATTTTCACATTCCCACTGAACATATCAGCTCTGACAATATATTTTTTTAATCTTAACAGCAGAAAGTAATACATAATTCCCTCTAACTCAGCCAAGAAAAAAAAAATCAAACGTAAGAAATTAAAAACGCAGATACAGTATTATACAAAATTGCACCAAATTTTACAATGGTCTGATGTTTCTGATATTTTTATCTTAACACATCAAGGGTGATAGAAGCTTCTTTTTGCTGTCAAAGTGATCAAAGAGAGGTTGAAAAGGAATCTATAAACAGATGCTGCCCAGTGACAAACCTTAAAGAACAAGACTGTGGGGCCAGATGTTTGAGTGACCTTCGGACTACAGAACATGTTGGCATGGTGTTGATTTAGATAGCTGTTGGCAGGGGCTTTCGATCCAGCAGCTGAAAAAAAAAATCTAAATTATGGAAATATTTTTTCTCATCTTTCCCCTAACTATAAAAACTGAAACTACTGGTCAGTGGGGCTGATGCCTGTCAAAGAAGTTGAATTCACCACACAACCCTGCCAGTAGGTATCACATCAAAAAGGAGTTAGCTGAATGAACAAGAACATCTTCAGGCTGTGCCATTTTGCATCCCCCTCAACTTTCAACAGCTGTTTCTTGAGTGAATACAGATGCAGAATAATTATATGAAATGTTTTACATTTTCAATATACTACATCATGTAAATATGTAATCTATGATTACCTATGGGTGATATAATATAAACCACCATCAAGAAAGGGTTTGGGATGTGGAACAGGAAATAGAATAATTAATCAATAATGCTGGTTTTCCTAAATTATGTTCTTCATACATGCTATATTTGTAGAATTAAAATGATATTACAAAAAAATCCCCACAAACCCCAACAAAGTAACAACAACAAATGCAGAGATAATTGATCACATACATTTTTTGTCAAATACTAGAAGACACTGGAAATTATTATTACATGTAATTTCAGCTGTGCTGCAATTTTCTGGATCTGTCTCAGCAAGCACTTCCATTTTTTAATCCGATTGAAGAAATTTGTCATGTACTAGGAAATACAAAAGGAAAAGAGAAAATCATCAATCCAAAATTCCAGCAGATACTCAAGTCTGAGCCACTGCACATCACTAGAACAAATGGAGAAAGCAGAAAAAGTCTTGCTTTGTAACATTAAATGTGATTGAAGACTGTACAGTTCTTCTTACGCTTTTAGACGTTTTGTCACTTTACCTGGAGAAATATACACTGCTTATTCTGAATTGCTGCTGATGTCCAGCACTTGTCAAAACCGCTATCTGTCAAGCACTTCACAAAGTGTTGCAAAATGACAGATCAGGATGTCTGAATAGATGGAGCCCCAGGAAAAACAGAACAGATAGAAAATTCATGACTCTAAACTACATCAAAGCGACTTCTGTCAACATCATGTCAAAAGAAGGAAAAAAAGAACTGTTCATTTTAGAGGGTTTTTTTCATTATATAAACACTTTTTTCACGTATGAGCTAAGTGTAAGGAAAAATTAACTTGGTGTACAGTATGATCATTTGAATGTGCCAAAAATACTCTTTAAATAATCCAGGAATAAGGAAACTTCTAACAGTAGATACTGTCTGGCAGTTAAAACCAATGACATCCAAAAGAAATGCATGAAGAATCTATCAGCTTAAAAT